GGCACACTAGTATTTTAGTAAAGAACTAGTAAAGAAATTAAGGTTCCCGATGAAAACATTCCAGGATTTTTCTCTATATAATGGACTTCAATGGGAACCAAACGGTTCAAGGTCCAAAAGACAGTTTCAGTGCAAACTGTTCAAAGGGCTTTAAACGATTCCAGACGATGAATAAGGGTCTTATCAAGCGAAACGATCGCTCATTTAAAAAAAGAATAAAGTTCAGGTTTTATAAGCTCAAATGGTCGCCTTGCTCTGTTCTGTGATGTGCTTTCGTGACTCTCCTGTTCGAACTCGTTTATCAAAATGAACAAATCTTTTTTCGTGTCATTTGGTTCATTCAACGAACTAAATGAACGAGTTGACTCAGGAAAAGATTCGTTCATTTTGATAAACGAGTTCGAATAGGAGAGTCACGAACGCACATCACAGAACAGAGCAAGGCGACCTTTTGAGCTTATCAAACGTAAACTATTTTTTTTTAAAAGAGCGATCGTTTCGTTTGATAAGACCCTTGTTCATCGTCTGGAATCGTTTAAAGCCCTTTAAACAGTTTGCAGTTTGCACTGAAACTGTCTTTTGGACCTTGAACCGTTTGGTTCCCATTGAAGTCAATTATATGGAGAAAAATCGTGGAATGTTTTCATCAAAAACCTTAATTTCTTATCGACTGAAGAATGAATGACATGGATATCTTTGATAACATGGGGGTGAGTAAATTATCAGCAAAAGTTTTTTTTTTTAAAGTGAACTACTCCTTTAAAGTGACTAATAACCCTGCTGGTGTCTGTGTCATTAATGTTAACCAAAGAACAAAAGACAAAAAGAGAATGACTCACTGCTCTTGACACTTTTATAGCTTTAATAAGGATTAATCTATAAATCATTTATGTAGTGAAGATTGTGAAGTGTTTGTTTATTCAGTTTCTGTACATTTACCTGTTAAGAATGTGTGGTTTATCTATCAATCAGATGTGTGTGAAAGTTGTTTCTATATTAATAAGAATAAATGAACAGTAATTATTCCTGAAATGGCAAAGCTGAATTTTCAACATCATTACTCCAGTCTTCAGTGTCACAAGATCTTTCAGAATCATTCTAATATGCCGATATATGTGCCATTAGGCTGGCGGAAGACTATAAGGAACAGAGTTGGGCTGCCATGTCAGAGCTGGAGAAAGAACTGCAGCAGATGGAAGCCGAGTACGGTCTAGAGTTTGGTGACGTATCGGAGAGTGAAGAGGACGAGGAGGTGGAAAACGGGCAGGAGAGGGCAAACATAGACAGGGGAGGTGAGTTCTGATGACGTACATGTATACTTGAGTGGATTCTGAGTACAGGAGGTCACAGGTTCAGGGACACATTATGATTTTGAGACTGAACAAAGTTTTGAAGGATCACAAACAGTCCTGCAACACCTGCAAAAAAAAAAAAAAAAAACTGTTGTAAGCACACCCTCTCAACCACGTCACGTCATGACAAGTTGTTTTGGTATTTTACATCTATTTAGTGACTTTTAAGTGTGACATCAGTGTCCAAATAAGTGTAGATGTCACTATATAAATAGACAGGACAAGAACAGTCATCTGTGATTCATATATAATGCAATGATACACAGAGCGTCACCAAGTCATGAAAAATACCTTAATCATACTGTAAAACATTGGTGAGTAATGGATGGAACGTATCTAACAGCTGCTTGACCTTTGTCAGATGCGGTGCAGGCAGATGGTGCCGTGGAAATGGACGACTATTATGATGACCTGTATTGCCCTGCCTGTGACAAATCTTTCAAATCCGATAAAGCGTGAGTGAACGGAGCAGAGAGAACACGCGCACTGCTGTCGCACACCCCTCATCACCTCACTGATCACAAATGTGGATTTCAGTTTTTAGAGTTTCGTCGACTTCACAAATTAATAAACATTATGTAATTTTTTAGTTCAGTTGTCTAGTTGGTTTACATTTATAAAGTATAAAAATTGACACTACCATTTTACAGATGGTTAATTTTAATCTCTTCTGCTGACCAAGGCTGCATTTATTAGATCACAACTGCAGTAGAAACAGCAATATTGTGGAATATTAATAGAATTTAAAATTTAAAAACCTGTTATGTATTTGAAAGTGTAATTTATTCCTGTGACGCAAAGCTTAATTTTCAGTATCATTACTCCAGTTTTTAGTGTCGCATGATCCTTCACATATCATTCTAATATGCTGATTTGGTGCTCAGGTAATATTTCTTCTTATTATTATTATTACCAATGTTGAAAACAGTTGTGCTGTTTAATATACATTTTTGAAAACCATGATAAAATTTTTCAGTTTTGTTTGATAAATAGAAAGTTCAACTGAACAGCATTTCAATAGAAATGCTTTAAAAATAAATCTTTCATAGCATTCATACTGTAACCTGTGATCAATTTAATAAAAACATTTATTTTTTTTTTTTTTTAAATCCAAACGTTTGAATGGTATTGTAAATGGACACAACACTAACATTAGTGTAGATATTTATTTATTTAGAATTTTTTTTTCCTTAGGTGTTGTTTGTCTACTTTAGCCTACATGTTTTATTAATTAATTTAATAAACACAAACAAATAGCATGTTTTGAACTAATTTGCATTACATGCATTTAATTTAGCAGTATAATCTGCTTTTCTCACATCAGCATGAAAAACCATGAGAAGTCCAAAAAACACAGAGAGATGGTGGCATTGCTACGGCAACAGCTGGAGAAGGAAGACAAGTCGCTGAGTCAGAACTCTGTGGAGAGAGAGGAGGAAGAGGACGATGACGATGATGATGACAGTGATGAACTTGGTGGCACACAGAGACAAAAGTAAACCATAGCACTAGAGATGTGCTCTCCGAATATAATTTATTTGTTTCTCTATGATAGTATTTGACAATATATGCCTGTTTTATAAGCGTCTACTGTGAGCATTAGTCAAATGTTAATGTAAAAAGGTGATTAATTATATTAATGTTAAAATCAATAGGATTGATCATGCACTACTGACATAAAAATGTCAATCCTGAATCAAAAATTCAAACATTTTATTTATTAGTTATTTAATATTCTTTTTCATATTGTCTGAAATTGTTATAAATAAAGGAGTTTGTAGAATATCTATAAGTTTGTGTACTTAAACGAGGCATCTGGTGGCATTGTTGGCTGTTCTTGTCGACTGATTGGTTCATTTGATTACAGATTATCTAAAAGGCAGAAGAAAAAGAAACGGCAGCAGAAAACTGTAAATGTAAGTCACTGAAATCTAACCTCAGAAGTATTTGAATTGGCTAGATTTGATTTAGTAAAATGTCATTTTTCTAATACGGTTGTTCTGTAGAATCTCCCAGAAGAGCCTGAGATGGACAGTCCAGTCCAGCGGCCCACAGAAGAGCGTCCCCCACCTGCACCTGATTCGGGCAACAGCGAGGAAGCCCCTGTCCCCTCTGAGGACCCAGATGAGAATCTAAAACCAGAGGGATGTGAACCAAGAGACCAAAAAAGGTGCCTCTCATATGCCTGTTTAACAATCCACCGGTTAAAAAAGTTCAGTTGTTATAAGGTTCTCTGTATATTGATATGAACTGAGATTAACTCTGAATGTCACTTTATACAGCTCTGAAAAGTCAAAAGGGAAGAAAGGTGGAAAAGACTCTAAAAAGAATGGTAAACCAAATGGCGGTGTAGAAGTTGCTCAAGAGGTGTGTACATTACAGTCACGTTTGTGTGTGTGTACTACATGTGAGCAAGCAGCCACTCCAGTGGCCTTACAGCTGTTATATACAAATTCATATGACTTATTATAACATGGTTTTCTATAATCATCTATAATTGAATAAAATTATAGATGCCAAGTTTGTTTATTCTCATTCTGATTGGTGAAATGAAGTAGTTCTACACACTGTTGAGTATAAATGAAATAATTCTTCCCATGCTTGTAATGAGAAGTGCTTTTCAATCAAAAGAAAAGCTTTAAATGCTCCCTGCAGTTTTTCATCAAAATGAAATTTGATGGTTTAATGAGGAAATTAAGACCCATAAAAAAAATGATTTGGATTATAGATTTACATTTGTAATGTAAAATAATAGTGTAATAATTTTTCTTAAATACTTGAGAAATACTGTTTTATTTTACAGGGAAATATTATAGTACTATTTCTTTAGTTTTTTTTTAGTCATTTTAATATTTTTATTTAGTAATATATATCAATATGGCTATAAAATACTACTACTAATAATTTTATATATAAAAATATAACCAAGAACAGCATATTTGTTTTAATTGCATTTTAATCCCAATCACAATTTTTATCAGTAATTTTATCCCAAATGTTACAGCCCTAGCTTGGAGTTATTTATCGCTCTCAGAAATGAAAAAAAAACAATTAGTGGCAATAAAGCTTAATGTATCTTTTCTGCTTCTTATAGAAGGAAACCATCTTGCGCTGTGTGACCTGTCAGTATGAATTTGCCACCAGGAACAAACTTTTCGATCACCTGAAGACCACAGGCCACGCCACTGCCCTCTACTCTAGTAACGCTGCACAAACGTGCAAGAAAAAGAAGGACATCAGGAAGAACAGATAACTGAAAGGCAGACAAAGACTTAAGCCCCTCTGACTGTCCACTTGTCAGTGTGTGCAGTTGTGCAACCATCAGGGAGTGCGTTTATGGGCCTGCGTGTCTTTGTCCCTCTGAGAATGAATTTGTGCCCTGTGGGCTGACATTTCTTTTGTAATGCACCATATGCCAAAAGATTTCCCTAGAACTGCCATTTATTCCTACCATATTTGATGCATAATCTGGTGCGTCAGAGCGGTCCTGTAGGACAATGAGGCTTCTATTGAGTAGACTGTGCAAATGTCGTTTTTTTTAGGAAGTTAAGAGTAATTATGATGGCACGTTTAATGTCACATTTTCACAGTGACAATTCCAAAGAGGTAAACTGTAAAAGGCAACGTGAGGAATAAAACTCCACTGGATGTTTTGAACATGGATTTCATTTTATTGGAAATGTTTCTGTTTGGAAAAATAAGCTATGAACCGCAAAATCTCTCAACAGTGTTATTATTGGTAATAAGACCATTGGGTTTAAGATCATAAAGAGGTAAAGGCTAAACATTCAAATATGTTTAATGTACTATGTGTGTAACAGGTCAGCTGCAATATATAAAGGCTTGGTGTTATGCAAAACAATACCAGTGGATTTCCACGAAAGGATCTCAAAAAGTACTAGAAAAAAACAAAACAATGGATGCTTATTTAATAAACAGTTGCTGTCTTTGCAGGACAGAAATCTCCTTCTCTTCATATAACGTTTTAAGAGGCAGCAGATTTATTTATGACCTTGCGTGCCTTAATGGTATAAGCTATGAATGTCACTTGAACTGGGTCAGGTTTGAATTTAATCCCCTCAAAAAGCTCCTAACATGTTTTATGTATTTATAACAGTGTGGTTTTAGACAAGACCCTGCGGTTGATGTATATGTAAAAGTCTACAAATGTGTATAGTCGTTATTTAGCATTGCAAGAAATCTTTTTTTTTTTTCAATCCTGAAAGAAATTCTCTTATTGAAAAGGTAGTTTGTACCAGATTATGAGTTTGTTTGAAACTTAGTAAGATGTATCTGTACCAGTAAAACAATACAATCCTGTTATACGGGGTATATCATGGTGTATTGTTAGAAAATAATGTTAAGATGACAATAGTGTCAAATATATAATTAAATAATTTTAATGAACCAAATAATTGTTAAAATACTGTATTACATGAAGGTAAGATTACTAGAATTATTCATGTTTTTCTCCATGTCTCCAAAAAGGTAGAACTGGGAGTAGAACTGGTCCCAGTTGTTGAAACTTCTTGAAATATCTGGTTTTAGATGGTCAGTCAAGTGCTTATAAGTACTTATTGAAAGTGCTACGTCTCTGAAGTATAGTGTACTCAAATCAGCTACTGATAACAATTGTTCTTGACGCATACATTAAGGAAGGTGTGAATAATGTGTTAGTTGCAATTTTCCATATAAAATGTGAGCCAATGTTATGTGTCTTCTTCATGCTCTGCATGTCTTATCTTCTCTCCAGGTAGTTGAGCACTGCCTGGTTGAATACAGCGAGGAAGAAGTCTGCGTCGTCTTTAGTTATGCACATAGGAGGCTTGATCCTGAAAGTCTGGAAAAGAACAGGTGAGAGGTGGTGGGTTTGAGAAAAAGTATCATGCGTAAGATTAAAATAAAGCGTGCTACACAAATGTTGTCAGATTTAGCCACAAAGGTGCATAATGTTCCCAAATTGACCTAAACAAGCATCTAGTGAAATTCTATTAATTGTATACATACACAACCATTCAAAAGTTTGGTGTCAATATTTAAAAAACAAACAAAAAAAAAAGTTTTATTCAGCAAGAATGCATTAAATGAATTAAAAGTGACAGTAAAGACATTTATAATGGTACAAAAGATTTTAAATAAATGTTTCCACAAGAATATTAAGCAGCACATTTGTTTTCAATGTTGATATTAATAATTGATGTGGCAAATCAGCATATTAGAATGATTAAAATTCAGCTTTGCATCACAGGTAGAAATGTATTTTAAAATGTATAAATAGAAATTTCACAATATTTCAGTTTTTACTGTAGTATTTTACATTAGAATATAATGTTAATAAAAAGTATAATAAAAATCTATTATAATTACATTATTTATAGATATAATTTGATTCAAATGTGTGTGTGTGTGTGTGTGTGTGTGTGTATATATATATATAGCCTGTGCAAAAATTAATTGCGATTTAATCGCATCCAAAATAAAAGTCTGTGTTTACATAATATATTTGTGTGTGCTGTATATAATTATTTTGTATATATAAATACACACACATGCATGTATATATTTAAGAAAATGTGTTATTCATATATAAAATATTTATATAATATAGATTATGTATTTATATATATACAGAATTTAAGCGCAAATAATTCTTAAATATATACTGTACATGCATGCATAGGTATTTATATGTACAAAATAATTATATACAGCACACACAAATATATTAAGTAAACACAGACTTTTATTTTGGATGCGATTAATCGCAATTAATTTTTGCACAGCCCTTATATATATATATTTAGAGAATGTTCTTTTTGGGGTGAACTGTTCCTTTAAGTGTACATTCATTGCTTGCTGTGACTATTTCTATAAGTTCAGACAAGCAGGATTCCGGAGGTATTTCAGCGACCACAGGACCGAAGTGAATCCCTGCATACCTTTTCCATTGCACAACATCCCCAGTGATACACCTCAGGCATTCATGTCTATCTCCGCAAGAATCACTTTACAGATAGACCCTGTCACCTCGCCTACCTGTCCGTACAGTCCTCCTTTTCCAATCAGCACGCCCATGTCTTTAATGTCTTCGAAGATCTCAGCCATTGCCTCTCGTGGAAGCGGGTTTCTGGTGACCTAGACATAGTTTTGAGAGAAATGTCAAAGTGGGTTTTAAGAGAGCGATTTCAGGTATGCTGCTTGATTAAACATGTTTTTGGTTAGAAAATGTAATGGAATAGTTTTCCCAAAAGTGGAATTTCGGTCATTTAATCACCCAATATGTCATTCCAAACTTATGCAGCTTTGATTTTCAGCACAATATCTCCTTTCATGTTTGATGAAAGAAAGACAAATAGGTTTTAAAAAAACAAGAAAGTGAGTAAATTCTTTTTTAAGAACTTCTTCCACTGTGAATTTCCATTTTAATAGCACATAAATCTGCTGAAAGGTCACTGAAGCGTTCTTAGCGTGTTTGTAATATCTTTCTAGACACACATCCTCACACAGTTTCCAGTAAATAACCATAGGTAAGAGAGGTTCACTGGGTGTTTTTAACTCCAGCAGACAGCTGAGTGTATTTCTGAGAATGTTCAAACATGCTGTCTCATTGCTATCTGCTCAAGTTAATGACTAACAAGTTTTGTAGCTCATTGCCTGTGAGGAAAATGACTTACACTCACAACAAACACTCTGAATCATTAACTATTCCATCTGGAGCTAAAGTAACTCGTTCATTCGACTATTCTTGTACCTCAAGGTCAAGACACCATTATTGCTCTACAAATAAAGTTTAATGAAGTGGATGCACAATCACAAAGCTTGAGGATTTTCACTTTGATTTCTGAAGCGAGCAAAAGCCTGAGGTGTCATTGGGATTAACATTCACAAAACAAGGTGGTTTAAGACATTTAAAGCTGAATCGTGTCATTTTTTTACTATTGCATCTGCATTTGTCTCTTCATTCATTTTATTCTGAGCTCCTTTTAGAAGAAAAGCTGCGATTGTTTGTGCTTAATGCACTCAGATGAGAGGCAGTTTCCATCATTAAAGCTGTACACAGTGGGACATGTGCACCGCCAGATGTCTTTGTGTATTCAAGGCATGAGTTCAGGTGGAACGAAATGTCTTTACTAAAGATCCTTCAGCTGACAAATACGTACTCCATGCTTTTTTCGTAAGCTGGGGAGTTTGTACTTACGGATACTTGCTGACATTTGGCAGAATGTTAGTCAGGCTAGTTTCTATAACAAATAAATGTAGACTCGCTTCATTCAATCTTTTTAAGACAAAGTAACATATAAAGATAATAATAAATGGTTTGTATCCTTACAAATTATTAATCCATACACATTTATTGTAGATCATTTTTTTATTGGATGTCTGTGAAGAAGACTGTAACTTTCATTCATTCACCTTGTCTTTGACCATCTCCACCCCGATTTGAAGACCTTTTCCCCTCACATCGCCGATAATATTGTACTTGTCCCGGAGCTTGGCCAGTTCGGTCAGTAGGTATGTCCCTACATCAGCACTGTTCTCCTGCATCTTGTCTTCTTTTATTGTCTGAAACCAACATACAACTTTCAATTTCAAGTATTTAATAGCTAGTATGAGTCATATAATATTACAAATAATGCAGTTCCATCCATCATTATACTATTATTTATCTCATTTAACATTACATTTTATGTATTCAGTATTGCCGATAGCAGATATTGTATGATGTATATTATTGTGGTAGATTACTTAATCAGCCGTTACTGATTACAAATTACATGACAAGCAATGTAGCTAGTAATGTAATCTATTAGCTTTAAGCTTTTTAGGTAAATTTATTTGGGCCACTTTTTGATTACATTTAGATTATTTGACCTAACGCATTTATCACATACACTCACTTAAAGGATTATTAGGAACACCTGTTCAATTTCTCATTAATGCAATGATCTAATCAACCAATCACATGGCAGGTGCTTCAATGCATTTAGAGGTGTGGTCCTGGTCAAGACAATCTCCTGAACACCAAACTGAATGTCAGAATGGGAAAGAAATGTGATTTAAGCAATTTTGAGCGTGGCATGGTTGTTGGTGCCAGACGGGCCGGTCTGAGTATTTCACATTTGTTCTAAGCATCCTGAGAACACAGGAATGCCCGCTTATTGAACTGAAGCGTCAGTGAAGCCATTCTTTTATAGGTGTTGATAATCTCAACATTTAATAGTGAAATAGGACGAAACTGACTGATGCTTGATGCTGATGCTTTTTCTCTCCAAATTGGTGACATTGCGGGAGAGGTAAAGCATGGAAGAGGGGGTTTTGGGCTCAGTTTAGCTCCTCTTAAATGGCACAAGGCAGGCCCAGAACCAAAGGAGGAAGCTGGTAGTCAAGATGGGAAAGAAGGAGACGATGAGGTGTAGAAAGGCCATTTCCCAGGCCAAGCAAGGAGAGTAGAGTGTGGAACAACACAAGATGAGCTGGCAAGACCTTTGGTCAATGGAAGAGAGTGGATCAGTTTCCTTATCAGATCAACATATGATGTTCTATGCTCATCTGGCTGCTGAAGCAGAACAGTGAGGATGGAGTCCAAATAACTTATCTGAAGCAGAAGAGAGGAGCAGCAACTGGCTGTGGATGAGACGGAAAGATTCTAACTGGCTGTGTACAGGCCGCCACGCTACAGGTTCGTAGAATTCTTGAAAAACTCGAAGAGTCTGTTGTTTCGATTTGTACAGTTTGCATAGTAATTACGGCCCTGTGTATATTGCGTGAGGGTTGGTGTTTGGGCAGGAATTGTGTTTTGCAGTAGGTAGTATGCAGTGGTGGAATGTAACGAAGTGCAAATACTTTGTTACTTAACTTAAGTACATTTTTCACGTATCTTTACTTTACTTAAGTAGAATAAATAGTGCATACTTTTTACTTTTACTTCGTTACATTTTGCAGCAATTATTATACTTTCTACTCCACTACATTTCTACAACTTCTGTTACATTTTCATTACATTTTCTGATCAGTTTTTCCCCTGCCAAAACGGAATCTGACCGTCCGTTCGTTGCACGTTTGTCTCACCAGTGACATTTGGTTGCCATAGATACATCAACTAAATGCGTCTCTCACACAGTGTGTTTATCGTGCAATTTATATGCGAAAATTTGTTTTTACGTGCATAGGAAACACACCGTGTGGAATTATGGCAAGCCAAGCGGTTCAGAATTACACCATAAATTAATCGCGTTTACTGGCAAACATAGTTATTAACATATGGTTTATATTGCCTAATTGCAAGCTTGTTTCAGAAATGGTGAAAGCAATTTTTTTCCATCATCGTTGAACATCATTATAGGAGTATTAGGTTGAATGAGTTAGAATTAAATGTTTTATTAATCATTAGAAAATAGTCATTAAGAGAATCAATTGTTATGCAAGTACTTTTACTTTTAATACTTAAAGTACATTGAAAATCAGGTGCTTTTTACTTTTTAATTAAGTATGGTTGTCATTGTGTTACTTCTACTTTTACTAAAGTAAATATTTATCTGGTTATTTGTACTTTTACTTAAGTACTGAGATTCAGTACTTCCTCCACCACTGGTAGTATGCCATACAGAACCAATGCTTTACTGAACCTGCTTTAACGACGAGAGTCAAACGAGTTGGTGTGTATGGTTGGGTTGCGGAGAGATTGTAAGATTGTGGTTAGGTCACATGTGAACTACGAGGAAGGAGCAACCTCAGCAGTGAGAGGGATGTAAAGTTCAGTAAGCTGGGCTGAGTTGAGTCGGGGATGGAGGGGGGTGACAGAGTCACCGTTGAGCCCTCTTGAGACGAAACACTGAGGACGGAAGGTGCCCACTTGAAGACCCTAGAGCAGTGGTTCTCAACTCCAGTCTGCTCTGTATATTGTGTATGTCTCCCATATTTAACACACCTGATTCAGTTCCTCAACTCTATGAACTGAACTGAGTGTGTCAGGTAAGAGAGACATACAAAATGTGCAGAGCACAGGGTCCCGAGGACTGGAGTTGAGAACCACTGCCCTAGAGATGTCCCCTACTCGGCTCAATCCAGACGGTTGTGGAGCTGGGGAGAACCAACTGTGGTTGCAGCCGTCATGTGTGCTGACGCACCAAGTACACTGCAGACGTTAACACCGAACAGAAGGAGATTCATATCACCATATGGAAAGAAGCGTAAATGGACGGAGAAGCATAGGTTACTGTAAAGCTACGTCTTAGTTTGTGCTTATCTTGGCGAAGACTGAGTACAAATCAGCATGAAGTTTTTACATCTACTCTCGTGTAATGGAAACCTAAAACTGGAATTTAATCTATATCCTCTGACTGTGCCATAGGCATTTTCAAGAAGAAAAAAAAACCAGAATTAGTGAGAATCAATAAATTTGTCTGATGTGTAATTGTAATAAAAAAAAAGATAACTATTCTCATACGAGTATTTTAAAATGAAATCTAATTGCAAGTACTTTTTTTATTTGGAATCTGATTATGTAATC